CGAATAGGCGTTAAATAATATTATTAACCCTTTTTTCTTAATATTCTAACAATTTCCCATCCAGCATTAATCACGAGTATCTACGTTATCCAAGGTATTAGTACCGAAGTCATAAATTCAATTAAGCGCAATTGGTTATTTCCACGGAGCAACGACTCTGCCATAATTAATAACAATGTCAGGGCAAAGAGGGCTGCAGGCGGAATAATTTATTATCCGAGGTTTACATTAGGTCCCAGTGTAACGTACGGGTCGACAGAGTCATTTAGCAAGCCAACAATGCGCCAGCATAGCCCTGCGAATTATAATAATTCTCATCAGGGTGTTTATAATTGCGCGTCCATAGGATATATCAATTATGACTGTTTATGCGTAAACAGATAAACGAGTAAAATGTATAAAACGACTGTATTCCTTCAATTACGCATAACGAGTATCCAATTTATTTTTTAACTTCAGTGAAAGAAAAAGAGAAAAGATTTTATTTCGGAGAATTCTCAGAATCGAGGACAAAACAAAGAAACAGAATATCAACGAGACATTTGATAATAAGCTCGTTAAGTTTCCAGTTTCACGTAAGTCAAAGCTACACGAAATTATATTTCCTTCGGTTGTTTTGACTGCGGAGCACGTGCTTTGGCGTTTACAGCTTCTTGCCGTAGCTACGAAAGCCTCTTATCTCCCAGCGATGCTGTGTTTGATGATGAATTTTTTGCTCCTATCCTCCGGGATTAATTTCCCGTGGTCCTACCCAACGACGCATAATTATACGAACGACCCGAAAGTCTCTTTGGATTCTCAAGGTATTCACGACGTGGCTGTTAACGAGTTCGTACTTTTTCCCTCGTCACTTATTTTATATCCCAAAACGAAATCTAGACTAAGGTCGATCGGCGGATGACTGGAGGCTAAAGTTAAAGGATCTTGGTCTGTCCGTCTTTGGGTCCTTATCTGTCGTCCATTTGATTACCTTTCTTTCTACTCGCTTTGGGTACGTAAGAAGCATAGGACGAACCCTTTGACTTGAGAGAAATCTGTCCGGGCGAAGCTTACGTTGATACTGCAAGGGTAGATCGAACGAGAATTTCATATGGATTAATTATATTGTAATTAAGGTCAACTGCTCTTTGGTCCGAAACTGCTTCGTCGGCCTTTGGAAATCTCCTTTCGAATTTCGTGCCTTATCCGAGGGTCTCTCCGAATCGTCTTAATCGTATCTCTATAGCGATTCTTATCGGTATTACGCAATGCTAGAATTTTCCTTAAAATCGTTATTTATTATGAGAGCATTTTTTCCTCGTATCGATACATATATCTTTATTGGAAAATCAATAATTCCTGATGGGTTGTAAAAAAAAAAAAAAAAAAAAAAAACGAAGACCCAAATTGCACTCGTCGTGTTCGTGTCGCCGGCGACAACCCGCATGCAACGCTTTGACGTCGATAGACGCGCGTGTCAATGCGACTTCTGGACGCGTATTCAGCCAACGACATTAGGCACTTGACAGTCCCCACTGTAACGTATTTGACTAAAGTCATTTTCCTGAGTGAAATTTTGGAAAAAATTTCAATTAAATTTCATACCTGAAATTACTCGAAAACAATTTTTTTACGTTCAATTAACATCTGTGAACATATTCGTGGTTCGCTTGAAACGTATAAATTCGGGTCTCTAAAAAATAAGTTTAGATTCATCAGCTGCTCGGATGAGATCTGAAACCGTTGCAGGAGCAACAGCCGTGGCACAAGTTAGCAGTGAGAGCAGGAAGTGTCCCTTTTGTCACGGCGTGGGCGCTGAGGTCGTCTTGGTAACTTCCTTCGTTCTTTACTCGAGGAGGTCGCGCGGCGGAAGTGCTCAGCGCCATCAAGCGGATGTCACAATTAATGTTGACCGATGCTCGTTAGCACGTTTCCTTTTTCCCTGAGTCATAATCAAAAATGGCCGCTCTCGCATACGTCATTGTTTCAGTAAAACCGCTCGAAGAGATTCGAGATACTGAAAGCTCGTGCTAGGATGCTGCGAGAAGGTGAAATTAAATTTTTTTTCAAATTGCCCCGCTTGGATACGACAGTTTAAAGGAACTTCCAACTTTTTTCTTTATTTTTAAACCTGATCCCGCAGTCGATACGATAATTCGATGTACGAGTCTTTATTTGATTTTACGTCATTTGGAGTGAGGCTGGAACGACGGATGGGGATGAATTCGCGAGTGACGTGTCTACACGGTAAATGGATAGGGGTGTTGGCTTGGCATCGAGGGATAAAGAATGGTCGCCGTGTAAATAGTCAGCTATTATGGAATAGATTAGGGTAGCTCCCCCACCACCTATCTCCCTATCTTCTACTGGGATGACTACGTCATGGGGATGTTAACCAGACAGGGAAAACTGGGCCGAACATTGAGGCTGTATTGCTTTTTTTTTATTTTTTTATTTTTTTCACGTTCATTGCTGTTTCTCATTATACCCTTTTATCCTGTCCCGCAACTGTTTCGATTTCTGTTTCGAAATATCGCTGGCTCATTGATCTTTGAATTATAGAATAAATTGATTGGATCGGACACTAATTTTTTTTTTTATATATACATACGAATGCCGTAGAAATTATGACGTCATTCGATGGCCTTGGATTTAAAAAAAAATTTCCTAATATTCAAATTCACTTTATTAACCTCATCTTTGTTCAGTAATCATAATTAAAATTTATATATCACGTTTGATTGTATGTCATGCGATATTTCATCTGGCAGATTTTCGGAAAAATCAAGATTTTCATGAAAATAAATTTTCAATCGACAACCCTTGTTCTATCTATAAATACTCTTAACGCCCGAGTGATATTTATTTTCTGGTCCAACTTCATTTTAGTCAGCCTCCAGTTTTCTTCATGTTATGTCAAATCCGGTCATATCCCCTTTTCTTTTTCCCCTTTCTGGCTTTTTCCCCCTTCTGGACCAGCCTACCCCTCGCCCCTCTCTCGGTACACCCCGTGCACTCATTCAATTGCTTATGCCACGTCACGCGTCTTGCCAAGTTATCGAATAAACGTAATCAGCGACCAACTCGATTACTTGTACAGTAATCCTTTTCGCAGTTAGGCTGCTGACGTTGATAGATGACAAAGAAATTGCACTAAGCTTGAATAACTAGGCTGACTAAAATTTGGACGTTTGACATTCCCGCTGGTTGATTATGGAAATTAAAGACAATAACTTGGTCGTGATTTGTTTTTGCGAAGAATAATAAATTTTATTGCACTTGTTTATGTATCGTTTATATATAGGTATGTATAGACGATATGTATATACGATAACGTATCTGTTGGTAAAGCAGTGAGGAAGATGTGTGCAGTATGTACGTACAGGTGCTGAACGAACAGAATCACGAGGGGATGAAATGAGCTCAGGGGATCCTTTTTTCATTTAATCACCCCCCTTACGTATAATCCCCGAAAAGCTCTGACCAGTAATTAATTTTTCATTTTTCATCAAGTTCCGATGAATTTCATCAGATTACCGCTGTCTGTCTCCGTAAGACAGGGGTAAAAACTTACCCAATTTAAGTGTCATCCTACAGGTTGAAGCTTCCCTTAGTCCTTTAATTGCCAGTCGATACATCCACCTATCTCTTTTTCGCCTCTCGTTCGCACCACACTTAGATCCTTGTACTAAAGTTTTCTATCGATTCAAGAATCTGTAAGTATTCGGAAGCTTAGGTTACCGATTTTCCCGTCTGGAATGGCGCTGCGGTAAGTGCCCCTTATAGTACCGAGAACGGCCGCCAGATAGCGCTGGTATCGATTCTCCTTTACGACGCTGGTTTTTATTGGTCAATAAAAGGACTTTGGTCCTTCAAGTTGCTCGAGTTGAATCAGCAAAGTCCTGGTGCAACTTCCATTATCCGTTTTCGATAAAGGAGCCTCTTATTACACTATCGCTACTATCGGAATACTGGTAGCGCCATAAACTTCTTCGTCTCGCCGGTCCTTGGACATCTTGACCGCGATAACGGTACTTGAGTCCCTTTGTCACTTGCATCAGGAAACTTTGTTATCATTAACTCGAAACGATATTATATTATTTTACTTGTACTTTGTCGCTCTGCACTTTTATTTCTGTCTTTGAGAACACTTATAAGTGAGCGCCATGAAAGTTTATTTCACGTTGGCTCCTCTTGGCCTTTGCCTCATTTTCCACGTAATTCTCGGCTCTGTATGCCGTATGGTTTACTATGGCAACGTATTCCTTACTTGGTACTGCTATCGCGTCTTGAAATCTTGGAATATCCTTTTCGAATATGGCGCAGTAACACGAGCGCTATTTCATTTTTCTATCAAGAGTCTTAAAGGGGTATGGAAAATGACTTCCTTCAAGCTCGATTGAACTACAGTGAAAGGAATGTCGGTAGTTCGGGTATTTTAAAAATAGCCAGTGCCGACGGAAACGAGGAAATTCGGTATCGGACGCGAATAAATTTAATTTAGGTTCCGAAAAGGAAATTATTTAAAAAGCATAGCAATGATAATTTTTTTATTTATTTTTTGAAAATTTTTATATAGTTAAGACAGACGCGTAATTCTACATGCTGTAGAACGGCAGACGCGAGAGACAGCTAAAAGCGTCCTTAATGAGAGATTTATGGCTTTAGCGAAGAAGAACAGCGAACATGAAAACGAATGATATGGTGAATCTAAAGGGTGACGGGTAGCGTGCAAAGTTGATCGGCTTAAGGGATCTCTGTGTATTGTACACGTGACTAATTAATCATCGAACCTTTCAGACTTTGAAAAATTATGCAGGAGTATCAACGCGGACCTTTTTATCTCGAGTATTTATTACCTTTAAATCGAGTCCTCAATCAGCCTCTAACTATTCCGAAGGACCGTAATCAGTCTCAAAAGCTCATATCTTCCTGACGCAACCCCTCCAAGTGCATAATTTTGGAAACTAAAAAAAAAATGGAATTCCTATAAATAAAGATTTTTCATTATCAAATTTCAGAATGGACCATGATAAGACAAGGAGCATCGTAGAGTCATCGTCACCGTCTTCGTCGTCGTTGCGGACGTCGTCGTCGTCCGTCAGCCGTGCATTGAGAACGCGACAGGCAGAAGAGGAATTGGAAAATTGTAAAAAGTCCCGGAGGATCGTCGGTGCGCGGGGTGGGAGGGTGGCGATGCGATGAGCCCGGCGAACGACGGGCAGGCCGTCACCCGACACCCCCAATTACGAATCGGCATCGCGCTGCGTCCCGACGCGAGGCGTCCATCAAAACTGAGCTGTTCGCCAGTCACAAGTCTCCGCAGGCCATGGACCTCGATAGGAGAAACGGCACTGGCAATAGCGACATCAACTGCACGAACATTTACTTCGTTGTTGGCGACAGAATTGAAATCGCCAGCTTCTGTCCGGACCAAGTGACTAATAAGGAACTTAAAGGTGGGTATTCATTAATTTATTAAAATCAATCGATAAATATCAAGCATCTTTTTTTTTATTTCATTTATCCAATCCTTACTTAAAATCCATGCACGGGCTACGTGCACCTATTGATTTTTCGACCTATGAAAAGTCTCCAAGTATTGTCGCTTGTGGCGGGAAATTTGAAAATTTCTCAAACTCATCTTCTTCCTAGTATCCATAAGCCTGACATCGGGCTTGCGGTTTAAAAGTGGCGAACGGAGTTCCAACGTGGTAAATACTAGCTGGTTGTTAGAACCGATTAGGTCCCGCTACTAATTTCGATGGCGAAGCAATTTCGTTAGAAGTTCTCTTGGAGATGGGAGAGTCTATAACCACTACCGAAATTATGTTTACCATCGCTTCACCTTCAAACGCGGCCTATCAGTAGGGTTGGTCTGGTATCGTCTGTCTCTCTCTCTCTCCCTCTCTCTCGCTCCTCTAGTCTGTCTCTAGTCTCATCTCCCGATCCTGCTCCCCAAACTTTCATCCGATCACATCTCAACTTCAGACTCGAAATTTCTCATTAAGTTACTTGATTACATTTTTCTTTTTTTTTTTTTTTTTTTAAAAAACGACCCTGTCTTATTTCTACGGCAAAATAATATTTTGCTAAAATTTTTCTGAATTAGGTAAATTGAATTTTCATACACCTAATATTTATCAATTATAAATTATTATCGATCTAATTTTCTGTGACAGAAACAACGCACTGTTTCAGTTTCCTAAATTGACAGCCACGGAGATCGATCAATCGTGATCGATCTTCCGCCGCAGATATCAATTAATCTGTTTCCTACCGCCCCCACCTCTTCCCCATCCTCAAAACCACCCACGTGACAGACAATTCGCAGGAAATTACGAAACCAACGCTGAGTTCCGGTAAGCTTCGGGGCTTCCTCGAGAATTAAACCCCCCGTAATTTTCTCGAGTATGTCCTTCTTCTCCAGTTAGGTAAAAAGCTTTTTAGCGAGGCTTTTCTTGGCAAGTTACTTTTATTTTTTCTTAGACTTCGAAAACAGCCGACGAACGTGCTCCGTTGCTAGGGCAAAGATAATTCACAAGATGCAGAATAGAAGGCGATCAAATAATGTATTGTAAGGAATGAAGAACAAAAAAATTTTCTAAACCCCACGAAAGCCTTTTCTTTACGAGCTTACAATTTATTTCACTTTGACTCAGAATAAACTCTCTTACCATTGTTGTACCAAGCAAACAAAAGCTTCGCTTTGATCGTGAGTGAAGTACCTTTTGGCTCCATGTTGAAAAAACTACCCTTTACTTTAATCTTTTACACTGTACTCTCTCTCTCTCTCTCTCTCTCTCTCTCTCTCTCTCTCTCTCTCCCCCCCCCCTCTCTCATCTTACGTGCAGATTGTACATGCACGTTGAAAAATTGGCCACAGCCTCCCTCAGGGTCGTGTTCAAATACAAATTATTCATATTGGCCAAGCATCCTTGAATTCTCCACCTCGAGTACTCTTCTGCCCAACTAGAAACTCCGAGTATCCACTTCGGTGCCTCAGAGGTAGTTGCTAAATTTTCATCGTTTACAGGGTAAAGTTAAATAGGCTAAAATGCACGTGATATTGTTCATCTTGGCTCTCGAGTAACGTAGTACGCGCCATAGGGGAACCAAGGACAATAGTTATTACGGCTGAGTCTGTTGTATCAATTTTTAATGGTAGTAACGGGAGCGTGGGAGTAAAAATAAAAGGAGATTAATTAAGATAGCTCCCATAAAAAGCAACGAGTTACGGTTTACCAGGACCGCGAATAGAATTCCAGGTAGAATTTACGGTGCAACTTTACGCTTTCTATTCGAGTATCCGCACGTGAGTCAGTCGTTGCGTCTAGACGTCATTTGCAAACGGCCGCGTTTGTTAAACCAACCGCCTAGGTATATAACAGTACGAAGGATACTTACGTACGTAGATATACGTATGCACGTATCGATTTGACGTGCAAACAACGGCTTCCCATAAATTCCGAGAGCATTCCGGAGTGTCCTCCCCTCGGCCTCCCTCAACGCGAACATTTACTTTTTACGCGAAAAACCAACGTACAAAGAGATCGTCATAAGAAATTCGATTTTTATTCGTCAAAACTCTTCGCGATACTTCCAAGGCTCCGAGAGACCCTTATTAATACGAGCTGTTGATTGGACAGGGGAAGATTAGCGGCTACTCAAAGCAATTAGTGACGCAAGATCCAGATTCTCAGTTGCCAATTAATAAAACAATTAAGCGAGGCGTCGGAGCGTCTCAAAGTCAATTTCAGTGAATGGGAAAGAGACAGACAGAGGGGGTTTGGGAGACGCAGCAAGAGAGAGACGGCGCAACTTCCATAGCTTCGACTTTCTCCCTTTATATTTTTTTCTTTTCTCTCACTCGATTCTCTTACGACGACAGCGCCGACTCATCCAGAGCAATAAGTATTGGGGAAACATTGAAACGCAGCTAGGTGCCCGATTGCTTGACTGTTTTTATTTGTTTACTCGATCCTATCGCCGTGAGATGTTTATCAGGAGCGTCTCCGTCGGTGCGACGGAGTAACTTCCGAAGGTGTCAGGGCCGGGATCCCGTGGGTTCCGTAGGTTCCGTAGGTGAGTCTGAGTGGTCAGAATGAAATGGGGTGAAGAAGTGCCGGGACGCCCCGGGGTGTTGTTGAGTGACGCTCGTTTAATTAGACGCCTGGAAGAAAAGCCTTCGAGTCAGCACGTGCGTGCACCCCTGGATGCAGGCGTCGACGTCATCCTGGCCTTCCAGCTGTTACTCTCCCAGTCCTCTCTGTCACTCTTCTTCGCCTTGGAAGCTCACGGTCGAAAGTCACGCGTAAAGCGAGAACGGTGGGGAATGAATGTCTGTTGGGAAAAAAAATTTTTTTTTAAATAAAACTAAAATTTTTCAAAAAAGCTTACTAACCCTTTCAGTGGATTTTGGTGATGGTGATTTTTTTTTTATATTGGTCCCTCGTACGCTTCCAGCGGACAAGGTTCTGAACTCCAAGTGTTCAAAAAGACCGGGGCCCCCTCCCTCCGGTATCTCCCGTTCCAATGATATTGGCCTCAACAAAATAATGAATAAATTGAGCAGGCCACAATAAAAAATATAATCGTGGACCGTACATCCATGATTCACGTTTCATTATCCTATTAGAGCCAATGGAGATGGCAGGAGAAGATAGCCCTGGGCTCTTCCCTTCCCTCCTACGGCCCTGATCCAGGACCGATCCAGCGCCGATCTACCTCCCGATCCATCTGCTTGTTTTGCTTGCTCAGCCAGATTGACCTTTGCCCCCTGTCACTACTCCGGCACTCACTGCCCAGTATCATCCGTGGCACCAAGAGTCGCTCTCCGTCCACGGAGCAAGAAGCCTGTCGCGTGTTAAGTAGTCGTGGCTCGTCGCGAGCGGTCGGAGACACCATTATTATACGGCCCTGCCGCACTACGGGGACTTGGCATTAATCGAGCAGTAATTGCCGCGCGTGCCCTCGGCCTGGTAGACTCTAACCGTAGACAACCCGATGCCACTCTACCTTAATTACCGTAATTTCATTCGATTCGTTTCGTACTCCTCTGGTTCCGTTTTCATATCGCGGCGAGATCGTGCGCGCGTTTCAAGAGCCTCGTAAATACGGACGGTGCTTAAGACGCTCACCGACGACTCTGGAACCACTCCTAGTCGTAGAATCAATTAGAGCAGTTGACTCGGTAAATGCTGCATGACTTCTTCAACGGACGTTTGCTCACATTTTCTTAACCAGTTACGATTTCCAACCCTCCTCGGTCGGCCTCGTCTCGTGCACATTTTTCTGCCCGCACTTTTGACTTTTACAACCCTCGACTGACGTACGTACGGATATAGGCAAATCGTTCCTTGCTGATCCTGCCGCAGTTTTACGTCCTGGATTTACATCCTTTTATTCTCTGGCTATACGAGTACGAATTTTTTTTTATAGAAAGTCGTGGTACGACTGCTTCCTCGGATTTGAAATATAATGTCGCCGTCGGTGAGTAGGTCATTCCCTTTTTTATGAACAGCAATTCCATTACGTATACTTTTTTTTTTTTCTATTAAAATCATACCGTGCCCTGCCGGTATTGTTTTGGGTATTTTCACGTAGAATCTTATTACAACAAAAATTTTTTTCGTTTCCTCCTTTTTTTTATCCATCCTTCGGGACGTGGTGACGATATGTGGAATCGTATTTTTTAAAATTTCCCTCTGGTCTTTTTTTTTTTTTTTTCACGAAAGTCAAAGAAACGCTTGCAGATCGGTCAACGTCCTATGGGAATATATTGTAACAAGCACTATAGGTCTACGCTGTTGCGCTTACGAGGTGTTTGACAGAATAATTCGAATTCCGTGGCACGTGTCTGTCTGCTTCTACGACGGATGAAAATCGTGCATATAAATGCGCCTTTATCGACGGTGGCCAAGTGCGTGCTGCGTTTCAGAGATAGCTAAGCAATTTTCGTTAAACTCGTATATAATAAGTCTTGTATGGAAATTTGGCGAGGACTGCGCGTGCGCTGAATCTTGTATGTCGAATGGTTGAATGAATAAAGGATATAGACGCTGCTCTTTTCGCTTGCAGCTCAGCTGATGCTGTTCTCTCTCTCTCTCTCTCACAGTCTTATCGTAAACGTTCCTTTCTCCGGATATTACACCGAGTCGACTACCCACGCGCATCATTCGCCATTATGAATTTCCTTGAACTTAACCTCACGTGTGTGAGGATCGTGCAACCGTTTACTTCCTTGCACAAATTTATCCTGTTCGTTGCGCCGACTGGCAGCTTCGAGTAAAAAGAATGCACGGTGCGGATACCTGTAGACTTTGCATAAGGATTTACGTATTTTTCACGCGAAAAATATATTCCAAGGAAAAAAAGAGAAAAACGAATTATCGAGCAGGGGCAAATTTTTGAAATCGTGTTACGGATTCTATAATTTTGATAAACGTTAATTTTATCTTTCTGTTATCTCTTGACAAATTTTATTCCAGGCACTGCTATGCTTTTGCAAAATTAGCCCGACCCCCTCGCGTACGTCGTGTAATCAGACGCCATGAATGAGACTCTTCAAGTCTTTTTGTATTCCAAACTTAACGGCAACGTAGCAGCATCGTCCCCTCTTTTCAGGGTTTTCCCAATTAATTAAATTCATAGTTAGGTTAGGTTAGGTGAAAACCTTTGAAAAATCGTTTCCTCCGAGAAATTTGATATTTTCGTCTCGACTAAGACGAAATCATTATACCAAATAAAGGGGGTATTCACGGCCCTGCTAATGGTATATATATCTTACTCGAAGAAAAATTTCAAATTTACTTTGCTTTTTTATTCCTAATTCTTTTTTTTTATAAAATCGACAAAAATCGGTCCTATCGGATCCTGAAAGTATTGGCTCACTTATATATTTTTGTATAAAGTCTGAAATTCCACAGATGTACCTAGTCGGTAAAACAGTTTTTCGTTGAACGACTTAAACGAAATTATTTGAAGAACCGTACTGAAGCTACGTGTATGACCATATACGAATGAGGTACTGGCAGACTCCGGAGATTGGCTGACTGGCAGACTGGCGGCTCAGGCCGGTTGCCGCGTAAACAAGCATTTTTACCAGGATTCTCCTTTTTTCGTGTTTGGCTAGTACCTACTCGCTATTACGCCGCTCGTAACTCTCGGACGCCTCGGACAGCCAAGTCGGGTTGTAACTTGGGGTTACTAACGCATAACAGACAACATATAGGTATACATACAATATACCTACATGGTAACTCGCGCGAGATCTACTCGCTCTCCTCTCCTCAGCTCTCTTATACTCGGTGATCCATCATCAAAGATGAGTCTCTTCCCCTCTCTTCCCCATCTCGATCACCCATCAGTATCCTTCCATTAGACTCAGAGCCAAGTGCGGTTATTACTGAAATTAATGAGACGAGACACCGGATATTCGAGTGGCGGCCATGTTTTTTTTTATTCGGATCTATAAAGCACAGCAGTGGAAGCAGCTTCTTTCTAATTGGTCTTCGATACAAATTTTCAAAAAACGACGAATTTCCGAATCGAGGTGTAAATTCGGCATTTTTCGTAAACCATAAAACCTGGACAGCAAAAATTTTAACGAAATTTTATTTTTGCTCTAAATTTTGTATGCAGACTTTCGCCGGAGTTTTCCCTTTTTTTTTTTTTGCAAATTGCATAAGGCACTCTTTCTTGTTTCATGCAGATGTACTAAAAAATACTTTCTATTACTATATATCGTTAGTGCGCTTTGTTAACTTCGCCTGGTTACCATTAAGCGGGCTTGTGTAATTGTAATTTAATTAATACATACTCCTATTCACAAGACCGTACGCCTGCATCTACCCGTAATTACGTAATACGTATGCATTTGCGTTTGCGCAATGTATTGTATTGTATATATATATATATATAACGTAACGGGGCTTTTTTGAACGACACCCAGCTATATAGTGCGCAGAGTATATATGTATATAGGGTAGCGCCGAAAATGCGACATTAATTAATAAAGTTGCCGCGTCACGGTTAATTACCTACGGCGTCCTTAATTATAATTAATTCGCCTAATTTTATTTATGACCCTGATACGCCATCCTCGTATCCTCAGGGTTATTCAATTTTCACGAATTCATCCCGGCGATGCTTATCTTCCGCCTCGTCGTCCTTCGTATCCCATCTACATGCGTATCGCCGCGTCTCGAAAACGATAAACCCCAATTTACGTCCCCACGTGTATTTTCATGTGTCGAAAATAGAATGTCATTTCCATGCTCCGTCTGCCCTATTCAATTTGCCTGGATTTTATGCAAAGCTCTTTCGCGTCCCCTTTCTTAGCGAGACTGTACTTTGTTATATTATTATTATCGGGAATATATATCCACGTACGGTCGCACTCGCAATTCGCGAATTCTCACCGAAAAGCAAATTTAGAAGTTTTTATCGTTCGTCTGCGACCCTATTTTTCTACTACTAGTGATTTGTCATTCTACGCTTGTGCGACATTCGGATAAACGGTGGGCGCATGGGAGTCGTATGAATTTCGTTGAAGACTCGCCATAAATCTTCCGTTCGTCGAGTACAACGTTTGATATGGTATTAAAAAAAATTTTACTACCAAATTCGAATTTATCTTGTGAAACGAATTATTCTCATGGACTATAATACCTTCTAGCGTCGTATCAGCATCGAACGAGATTTTAATATTTTCCTGTACATTTTTTATGACTTCCTTTCAAGAGTCAACGATTCGATGACTCTTGTGAAATCGATTCGGTGTCGAGAGTTTCGTAAAGGTTGGTTCACACGAAATTCATATATATTAATTTCCGACTGAAATTCTTCTTGGCGAGTTATTATCAAAAGAAGCGTCCTCGTTGAACGAGTCCGTTATTTCCGGGTGAAAAGTAACGAACTTGCTGAGAAAGGAGAGGCGTTCGCTTTGAATGAAATTTTTTTATTTTATTTTTTTTATAATAATTAAATGATTCCTTAAAGGTGGAGAAAAGGGAAAAATTCGGGAGCAAGAGAGAGATAAAAATTTGTAAATGATCCCTTGATATAAAGAGTGTCACTTTTAATAAACCATTTTTCATCGTCATTCCCAGACGCTCGTTTTCACTAACCGGAAGTCAGCGCCACCGGTGACCACTCTTTAAACTGGCCTTCGCGTCCGATCGATTATTTGCTAAATGCCTCTCGGCCAACTGGTCCTCCATCTTCACCCCTTGGAAGAGTCTGCGAGCCACCTCTCCGACTCCACTCAAGAATCCATCCCTCTTCTTTGGTCTCTATCTATCATCTTTCCGCCTGACTCGAGGGTTGGACTGTTTTTTTTTTCTTCGTACCGGAAATGACCAATCGATCCTCCAGGTCTCCCCGTGAGCTTGCACCGAGTCTCAGGTCTCTTTTGCTACACTACCATCCCTCTTCCACTCTCTCCTATCCCTTTGCTCCCTTGAGATTGAAGTTGAAAAGTCTGGACCTCGACGAGGCTCAGGATCCACTGATTACAGGATCGCAGCATCCCTCTTGAATCTTATTATCTTTTATTTGGCAGAACTCTTCAGAAGCGCAGCAGAGGCTGGTCCTCTGGATATCCTGAAGCTTCACGACGGAGACAAACTTCTTAACATTTCGCCGTATCTACCGGCGAACACACCAGACACGGCCTACGTACTCCAGGTAAGTCCTGGCCGTTACCGATAACGCATTAACGTTCCTAAAGTTGAGTAAATCGATCGAGATAAAAAGAAAGAGATAAAAATATCCTTACGTCAACAGGTTGTTGGAGTACATCCCGCAACTTCCGGTATGATCGAGGCTGACCTGTTACGCGCTCTGGAGAGGCGAGTCGCCGTTCTAGAGAGAGACCTGCGAGATCATCAGGAAGCTGCATCCACAGCACCGTCTTTGGCTCTTCGTGAACTCAAGAGACAAGTGAACGACTTCAAGAACAAACTCGAGACAACCGAACACCTCAGTTGGCTAGGTAATTGGTCCTGCCACTTGTCGTTTAATGAAAATGAAAATTAACGAACGAAAGGATTATTTAGGAAAATAACATTTAAGGAATCGTAGGTTTTTTTTTTCAAGAACAGCGCTGTACCACGAATATTATATATAACAAATATTCTATTTAAGTAAACCCGGTACAGAGCTAAAGCAGTTTCAAATCCTCGCATTCGCAGAGCTTCCTTCTGTACTTTGTATTTTCTTTATCGAATCGTCAAAGTCGCCTCACTCCCGAGCAACCGAAAGAATCTGAAACGCAAGGCCGACCTTAAGGCTCCTTTCTAAGCTCCGATGCATTTTACAAATATCTACAAAGTGGCACAGTGTCGACTTTCCTTGAAAACTTTCAATCGAATCTTTAAGCTCAAGAAATATACAGTTCGACATCGAGACGCCAGACGCCCTTCTTGTATTTGCACGCCAATCGAGTCAGAGCGGCGTCGCGACGCGGCATGCGTCTCGACGTGCAATTTAACATAAACATATTTGCCTCTGGCGATTTTTCGTCGCTTTACAAAGGTACCACGTGGATTTGACATTTTCGCACTTCTTCTCTCTCTCCCACGCGCATCTTTGGTTAAGTGTTTCCAAGGTAACAGGAACGTTAAAGGGGCATTAAGAAAGGAGAGAACGTTAAGGATGAAGGTTCAGGGAAGGCCCGTAGCGGCGCTGCGATCGGATCCCGTACGAATCCCAACTCGCTTGAATTAAACCAAAAGTGGACAAACAGTGAGGCTCCCGTGAGCCTCTGCGATTTTTTTGGACCATCCCTTGAGGTCGATTCGACGGGAATGACGGATATACGAGAGGATAAACAGCACCGAGCGGAATCCGTTTGCGGCCGAATAAATATTTGTCCGAGCAAAAACCGTCGCGCTATTCCTATCTTCGAGTTCAACCTAACCTAACCTAGCCAAACGTTACGCGACGGAGGACGAGCACTGAGACCACGAGGGTGGCTGAGGTAGGGTTGGGTTGGAAAGCGTCTCAAATCCTGATGAAACGAACACATTTGTATTTTTTTCTTTTCTTATATTTTTCCTGATGGCGTATAGGGGGAAGCACTGTGAATTGAGCTTTTTCAAGTACTGACGTTTCACGTTCAAAAGTACCCTGGATTCGAGGATTTCTGCTGTAGCGAAAGAGGGTTGATTCTGAAAGACGTCAGACGTCAGTATCGTCTGTAATCTTGCGTGTTGCGAAACGACTATGGGGCGTCGCGACGTTTCTGATTTTACGAGCGACCCGTTTACGAGAATCGTCGCTTTTTTTTCATATAAATTTATATATTTTTTTCCTTCTTTTTTTTTTTGTAGGATTCTACAAACAACTTCCGGCACCCATCTCCTCCGAGGCTTGTCGGAGGCTGCAGTATCGGCGAAAAAGCGACAGCGTGAAGCGCAAAGTGCGCGAGAAGTTTCTCAGCATCTGGTGAGTTTCTGGGAAACGAAAGATTTTCGTATTGGCTATCATTAATATTTCTTTGGGATTGCGGCATATGTGCACTTGTGTTATCTCTATTGGATATACTATTTTTTTTATCTAATTCACCAAAGGCACTGTACTGCCTGAAATACTTTCTATGCGAAGCGTATGTTTCATATCTCATATAGTATTCTTCGTGACGTCATGGACCATCTTGAAATTACAAATATTTTCAATTAAATTTGTCAATGCGCATAAAAAAAAGGAATTATCACGGAAATCCTACGAGATAATCAACGTCCAGAAATTCGTAAGGATCGAAATAGACGCGTGGTGAAATTCAGCGTGGAAATTCCAGGGATGGGCTATTTCCAGTGACATTGACGTTGGTCAGGTTCGAGACGTCGGCGTCCTCGGGTCTGTCGACGTCGGATGCTACGCAGTGCCTATTTTTAATAGGCACTTTTAGCTTCGTTAAACGTCCCAATGACGTCTTTTTCCTTTTTCGATTCCTGAGAGGCTCAACGTCAAACGAGTGAATTTGCATGGAAGTCATAAACCAATTTTTCGTTTCAAAACCGAGTAAGTAAATATATTCTGGTTAAAAAATTGAGGAGTTCCTTCGGTAAAGTCCAATTTATTTTTTTACCTTGTTTACATTTTTATTGGTTTCTCCGTCTCTTTTTTTTTTATTTTTTTAAGCCCATAGACGAAGGTTTCCTCGATGAATTATTCAAAATTCCCATGTTAAACGTCACTCAAAATTTCGTAACAAGACGGTTACTCGCAAATTCGCGATTTACACTGATTTTCATATTATCTCGGACTTTTGTTATCTGCGCGAAAGCGTCGAACAAACAATATTCGAACAATATTCGTCCGTAGAATATTCGAATCCAAAGTATTTGACAATAAGAGTCACAGCTTCATGAATCAGCGAATATTTTAGACCTAAAGGTACGGAGAATTTCGAGAATCCAAAAAACTATATCGACCGTGAAAAAGATATTCAAAAGGTAAAGTCGAAAGTCGAGTGATAAATGTGACTTAAAATTTTATTAGAAAAAAAAAAAACCTAAAATAAAACTCAAAGCTGCAAGACGTAAGGAACGCACTATAGAACTTCCATGTACGCTCGGACTCGACTCTTTTTAAGCGATCCAAGTATATTAATGCAGAAGGCTTTGGGTCCCACTGAATATTTCATGCTACGTTAAAACAATATTCCTGCCTTCCGCGGCGCGCGTTACGCCTAAATGCAAATGGTGCGCAATCGCGCGCGTGCATACCGATCCTCGAAGCTTCTACCAAGAAGATACTGCACTGCCCTGGGGAATAGATGGCTCGGTAGACGTCATTTTCACCTCAATCGTCTCGAGCATCTCGACGCCTGGCGTCGTCGCCGTCCCTGAGATTGATCCTACTTGGATTTGACGCGACACGCACTCCTACGCGTGTACACGTTGCTTCCTGCCATTATGGATTTTCTTGCTTAATATAAAATCTAATAAAGCCCTAGAGACTTAATAGAGCCTGGGAGATTGTCGTATAAAGTAAATTGATGAGAATGAGATTTCTACACGAGTTTAATATTATTTATTAATTTACTTCGCGCCTCGATCTACGCTCAAGCCGTTTACGAGTTTTATTGGAATTTGCATTTTCATTTGAAACCTGATGTATTTGAAAGGTCGAAGGATGGGGAAAGTCAAAAGTCAAAATTGATGGATAAATTAGTAGGAATTTATTTATCGTATATATACATATTGATATTGATTAAATTCGATGCTGTTCGATTTTATTGAAAATCTTTTAAAAAAAGAAAAAAACGTATTCGCCAATCAATATTTGCTTTCGGACAAGAATTACAGGGTGAACTGGTGAATCTGTTGTTAATCCTTTAGATCCTTCCTCTGAGTATATTTCTCTCTGTGACGTCATCTTGTCATAAATTTTCAATAGTATTGTCACGATCGTGATAAGCGTGGGTGACGACCTTTCATACAAACTACACACATAATATTATAATATTATATCCGCTTAAAATATTATCCTTAGCTTTTTTCTTTCCTTTTTGGAGAAAGTCTTTCACTCGGTTTTCATGTTCCCTGCTTTCTACTCGATAAGTCTCGACCTCAGGACGGAAAAGAGGATTTTGCGTTATCAAGGGACTCTGTGAATAAACCTTGTACGAGTCTTTGCAGCCCTTGGTGCCTTTCACCCCTGTTTCTCAGACGTCTGTCAAATACCTCTCCGTAATTGGTAATTAATGCATACAGTAATATGTCAAGAATACAATTTGAGAAATTTTTAAAGCTTCGAATTGTGACGTTGACTTATTGTTACGTTTTTGAAATTTGAATAATATTCATGGATAGAGTTACTTCAGTGTTGGAAAGTCGGCAATGGAGACAAAGTGCGGAATCTTCGCGTGTCTTAAAATAGCGGAGACTTGCATTCGCAATTTGCAATTTGTAATCCGCGCTACGTCTTAGTAAGTCTATTTTAAATTTATACTGTCAGATATTTACGAACTTCCTCGAACCGTGAATATTTTATGCGATATTATTTCTTACCCGTTAGAATAATTATTGCGGATTTTGAATATCTCTCGAAAGGACTTGCGATTTTTCTTATTGATATATCTACGTGGAATTTCCTAGGTCTGAACGTACGACTGTCATTTATTATCTGTAGTCGCTTTCGTCGTTCGCAGGTAAAAGCAGTTTCAGCTAGATTAGTCGTTCCCGAGTCTTCTTTCTTTTTTTGTAATCGATCGTTTCGACGGAATAATTAACAAAGTTTTAATTAAAACCGATTGCCATGCAGTCTGTCACTACAGTAGTATAATATGGGGGGTTCTGGACACAGATTCCTGCAACGACATTTACCGACACTTCGAAAGCCTTCGATGAGACACGTTACGAGGATCGCAGATTCCACGAATCGAGGGCTGATACTAGGAATTTGATACATTCTAGAAGCTTCTAGAACCTTCGACGGTTCTTGTCCGTGCTAAATCGCGCATGATCACTCTCAGAGTCGAGAGTTCTCTCGCACGACGTCTTGTCGATATATAACTTAGGATAGTAACGTCGTGATAAGACATTTCTTTCTGAAATAAAAAATAATCTAGGAAAGAGGTACAGTCGGAAATAATAATACAAATCGAGAGAAGGTAAAAGAAAAATGACGAAGAAAGGAACAAGGAACGAAGTTTTATTTGCAAAATTCATGTCGACCCCTATTTCGTTCAATTCGATCTGATTCGATTGATAAGAAAATTTAGAAATTCAAAGAAAGTTAGTCACTGGAAGTTACAAGATATCTTAACGATTACCCGAATGATCTAAAAATGACAATAAATATATTCTCTATACGCGTTTTATTGCCAATATTGACAATCTACTTCATCTAATCCCTGGTCGTTACCATAAAAAAAATGTCTCCCTCAGTCAATTCCTCCTTCCCTCACGACACTTTAATAACGATTTTCCCAGTAAATCATCCCCTCGTCATATCCCAGCAAACGATAACCCAAGCCTCATATTCGCCCTTTTATCCAACTAATAAGCTGCAAGCTTCCAACTCAGCCGGACAACCACCATCCATTCAGACAAATCCACACCCAGTTGTTCACCTCGCGCAAAACTACATATCTCTAGGAAACGATTCCAGGACGAGTTTCCAGGTATACAGAGGAGCCAGGATTTGCGCTCTTATTCGATTAAACGAAAACCCAGTGGGATTTGCCGGGATGAGATCCACGCAAATTGAATAAAAGCAAATGGACCAGCTCTACGTGATTTCATGCTGGGGTCAAAAAGGGCTTCCAGGATTTAACTATTCTTTCCCCTTTCACGTTCTTTACTTAAGAAAAACAGAAAATAAAAAGCAACCTTGACTCACGACTCACAGGAACATCCAGTTTGATACCTGAAGAAGTATCGTTCCAGGCGTTGAGCAGAGACTGGAATAGCGAAGAAGCAAAAGTGAGTGGGCGAGAGAAAAGTTAGTGGAACGCTCTCTAGAGCCCCCGTGCAATTTTGCGAAAATTCGCGAAAAGCAGCAAACTCACTCGAGCGATAAACGTTACTGGGCAAGTGCCCCATTGTATCGTACGCTTATCTTTGTTCCACTTCGTCCCTCTCACTCTCACACGCACTCCCATACCCTACCTCGTGCACTTACTTCCTCACGGCCGTTTCTTTATCCCCCCAGTAACACCCCCTTTCTCACCTCCTGCCAGTAGTGCAATCTCCTACCGTTGGCTGCGTCATTTCCTAACTGTCACTCATACGAGTCCTCGATTTGCAAGTCTCGTGAGCCTTATGCATTTTACAGTTTTCCAATAACGGGAAATTCAAGCCCGACAGAGACACGCAGATTCATCTTTGTGATCTGCATGAAAGGATCGGGTGGAGGGGAGGGTCCATTAATATATATTAACGATTTTCGAAATTACGTGTCCGATATGAACTTTCGATATATCGATGACGCTGCCTCGAGAGAGTCTATCGATTACTTCTTGAATTATTACGTAATCTGACGTGTATATATATATATATATAATATTTCTTAAGCTATTCTCAATTCCCCGCCTTTATTTCTCATTCGCTCAACCCCCATTATTCCTCTTGTTACGGAAAATTACCGGGAGCCAAGGAAAAATATATTCTCTCCGTTTTGTAATTCAGCCGTCCGACGTAACTGTGTGCCGAGCATGTATCTTTATGAATGTCAGTATAAACTTGAAGATCGGCGCGGTACGCATATTAAGAACTACATCTGCGCACTGGTAAGACACACAGCGCGGGGGCGGATGAGCTGTCGGAATTTTTTATAGAAATCTTATTTCCCTGCGAAAACTTCATCGTTATTATAAAAATCAATCTCTCTTAAGTTTATCTTCGTTAGATGCATACGACCGTAGCTTACAGACGTAAACCGATATATCGAGCCCCAGAAAAACACGAGAGAGTTAACGCGCCGAAGAATATCTCTTGAACTTTTCTTTGATGCGATCTCGCAGTGAACTTGCCAAGAGAAACAAGAGCTCGTAGCAGCGGCTCCGTTAGGTTTACGTTGGGAAAGGAAAGATAAGAGAAAGAAGAGGCAAAGTAACACGATGGTAAAATTTGTTTACAGTCACGGGAAGACGAAGAAAAAAAAAAAAAAAAAAGAGAAGTAAAGAGAAGGATCCTGTGATCCCGAAGGGATGCTGCGCGAGGAAGCAATGAATTTTAGAGAAGAGAAGCTAGTAACAGCATCACAAAAGTAGAGAGCCTTGGCACCTCTTATCAGACTCTTCCGAAGAGACCGGCGGCTACGTTCCGTTAGACGAAGCAGAGAAGTGCCAAGAGTCCTGGTGTCATCCCCACAGGAACCTCTCGTGATGATCAGATTTCGAGTACTAGGATCATGCTTGATGGCTCTTCGGCCCGGCTGCTTCCCAGCATCCCTCTTCCGTATACCCAGTAGATCAGCCAATCCAGCTCTTCGTCCCTCATTGTCGCCCTCTGATCATCCGTCTGTTTCTTCTTCCTCTATTTTCAGCTCTCCTTTCCGGTCTCCAGTTGAACTCCTCACTCTTCAGCATCCGTCCGCTTCTCTTAGTCGCAGTTCTGGACCATCGACCGTCTGCTGCATGGCGATGCTCGGAAATGCCATTAAGTCACCGTTATCTGGGCAATAATAACCTGAGCTGCAGCTACCGTGTAATAGAGATCGTGACAAAGCAGGAATTACCCATGCCATTATTTAATAGCTATCTTCGATAGGAACAACTACCAGCTCGTGGTGAAGACTAAATACCCACCCGTTATATCGGAGCGAATTGCAAAGCCACAATAGGTCTTAGGATCGATCCTCGCTAAAACTTCAATATCGAAGTCTAGGTCGTAGACTCTCTTATCTCTCTCTCTATTGCACTCAAAAACTCAAATTGGAATTCCCTTCTAACGATACTCCTCTAGACCTCAGCACTCTGCGTGCCCTAAGCGTTCCCAATCTTTTGTCATTTTTCACCCACGTATTCACCCCTCTCGATGGGCGCTACTACCTTACCCACCTATATGCTCAATTCCTAGCGTCGATGTTTTCTAGTTCCTCCAACCTCCTTCACGTTCCTGGCTGGTACCTCCCCGAGAGGGTCTCTCGACATCTTTCCACCCTCTACCTCATCGTCGCCGAGCCATTGTATTCCGCAACTAAATATAACTCGCACAGTAGCTGCAGCAGATCGATGCGGAGCTGTATTTTCAATCAGCCTATCGCGCTTGGCTCTGCAAAGGGGTGGTAGGATCTTTGAAGTCCGATCTAGGGATTTATAGGGATATTTAATATCTATCGAAGAGTTGACATTTCTTTGCAGGATCCTTTAAGGCACCTCGAAGTCCGATCAGACCATTTCAGGGAGATCTAGTAATTAAACGTGCTAATGACCATTTCTATCCGCCATTGAAAAAGGTGAAATGCCACTGGTACATGGCAATTACGTAATTACGGCTGCACCGTAATTGCAGATGGCTAAGACGTGCTTTATTCGATCCTGGAATCATTTGGCTTTGAAATTACTCCAGAGGATCGGCTGTCGTTCGCTCGCTCTGCCGAATGTCCAGTTCATTGGACACCTCATGGTAAATCTTCCGACGAGTAGAACTGATTGATTATCGATTGATTACAGCGACGTGGCCGTCTCGTCCAGTGTCAGAGAATGGCTCAGGTCACCTGCCTTCGACGCTCGGCAATTCGAAGACGAGGAACTCCTCCTGATGCTCCAGACGATGTTCGTCGAGTTGGAGCTGCCGCAAAAATTTAAGATACCTCTGTCGACCCTGAGGAACTTCCTGTACGAGGTCTATAATAATTACAACGAGGTGCCGTTTCACAACTTCCGGCACTGCTTCTGCGTCACGCAAATGGTAAGTTTCGTGTGGAATCCGCCTTTATTTTAATAGCGAGCACATTCACGTGGTCCAGAGATGATTATGATCTTTGTTGCAGATGTACGCGATGGTCTGGGCCATCAACCTCCCGTCGAAGATCAGCGATCTGGAGGTCTTCGTTCTCATCGTCTCCTGCATCTGTCACGACCTCGATCATCCTGGCTATAACAATATTTACCAAATAAACGCACGTACCGAGCTGGCTTTGCGGTACAACGACATCTCGCCTCTGGAGAATCATCATTGCTCCGTAGCATTTCGCATCCTGGAGGCACCCGAGTGCAATATCCTGGCCTTCTTGGACCCCATGACGTACAGGACTGTTCGCGAGGGAATCATCAGGTGCATCCTGGCTACGGATATGGCCAGGCATAACGAGATACTTGGACAATTTACAGACGCGGTGCCAGAATTCGATTATACGAATAAGGCACACATTAATCTGGTCAGTGACATCTTGCGCCGGATGAATTATTCATGATATCTCAGCTGCGATTATATTTATTAACTCATTCATCTGTCGTACTTCTGTTTAGCTCTCTATGATCCTGATCAAGGTAGCAGACATTAGCAACGAGGCTAGGCCGATGGACGTGGCAGAACCGTGGCTTGATAGGCTTCTTCAAGAATTCTTTAAACAGAGCGACGCTGAGAAACTCGAAGGACTTCCGGTAACGCCATTCATGGATCGAGATAAAGTCACCAAGCCGTCCTCCCAGTGCAGCTTTATTGGATTCGTTCTTCTGCCACTCTTCGAGGCGCTCGGCGAACTTTTTCCAGAACTTCAGGTAACTTCGAATAACTTAGCTCTAAGTGAATTATCTTGGTTAGACCAGCGAAGTAGCTTCTAGGGTGGAAATAGAATTATTATTGAGGGAATAGAGATTTTTAAGAGTTTTCTTATTTCAGGAACTGATCGTCCAGCCTGTGAAATATGCTCTGGAGTACTATAGACGATTGAACGAAGCGGCAAAGGACGAGCGACATCATAGGAAAAGTATAATAGATTTAGGTGAGTCGGCGCAGTCAGGTTCTGGTTCTGGTCCGTGCGTCGTTAAATCGACCTCGTCTCACAGCATGCGCTCCAAGAGATCAGGTGGTACTATTTACTCGCGATCCCGATCGATAGAGGAAGATACTGAAAATCTAACGATAGAGGAGATTGAGAACATTGAGAGTTCGGATCCAGAGACAGCTACTGAGGTGGAGATCAGTGAGAAGACTCTGAAGTTCAAAATCTCGACGGAAGGGACAGTCAGTGGTCGCAAGAGTTATCCTGGAAGTAGGAAAGGCAGCAGGGAGAAGTCGTCCTTGGATTATCACAACCATGACCTAGCCAGAGCCGTAAGGGAACATGAGCGCGAGAGGCGACGAAGTCGTGGTGAAAATTTCAGCAGCGACATGAGTTCACCGGTTAGCGCTAGGTCGGGCGACGAGCCCAGAATCCTGGAGGAGCTCGAGAAGGACGAGATAGTTTTTTTAGAGACAACGATCAATCAGGACAGATCGGAAGGAAATGGTAAACTGGCGCAGTCGCCGAAAAATAACATTGACAGAAGTATCGTCGTTAACGAAGAGGACAACAAGCTGAACGTCACGAAGGAGAGCATCCGGTGCTCCTGTGACGAACGGGAGAAAGTTATTGTGAACAATCACAAGTCCCTTCTATCCCGCCTGAGAAATTTTACTGATCGATTGAGCATCAGTTTCGACTCAAAAGAGTCACCGAGTCTGAAGCAGACGAAGCATCCTACAAAGAATCTGAACAAGAGCAACTCCGTTAGCAGCAGCTCCTCCAAGCGCAATGTCTCCATTTGCAAGCGCTGCAACCACGTAAAGATGAATAAAGAGCACGAAGCTACGGTTGAGATGTCCAGTGTTGACAAAAGAGCCATGACATTACCCAAGGCGAAAAAGTCTCAGGACTCTAAGAACAAGAGCTGGCGAACGGTGTTTGCTAAGGAGAAGAGGCCGTCCGCCTCCTTGGAGGCACTTCCGGCCACTGACACGGATACTCCTTCGCTCGGTAAACACAAGAGAAACTTTTCGAATCCTGAGGGTAAGATGATGGTTGCTAAGGCTCAGGGTCCAAAGGAGCCAAAGCCGATGATTTTCACCGATTTCAAGGAGATAGACGTGCGAGCCAAGCCGGAAATCATCGTCAATCCCAGCAGCAGCTCCACCATCATAGACCAGGACATCGGTAAGGTCGAGATCAGACGGAGCTCGGCGAGCATGGAGGATATATCCAAGATAACCAAGCAAAACGAAACAACCCTTCTTGGCTCACTGGAGGACAAGAAGACGGAGGAACTTCAGATCACTGGCTCTCTCGATTCCATGCTTTACAAAGAGTCCACCAAGTCCTCGAAGAAGCCTATATGCTTCTCTTCTCCAGGAACGTCCAAAAAATGCTCCACTGGTATCTTCTCCAGAATCAAGTCCGGGATGAGCATCGACAGCACCCGCAGCAACAGTGGCTCTCTCCACGAGCAGACTCCACCTTCTTCAGCATCACCTGCTCAGACCGGATGGATATCATCCTTGACCGCTAGTTTCAGACCAAAAAGGCAACCGAGCGAGCTGCCGTCCTCACCACAGCGTTCCCATTGTCCCAGTCAGGACGAACTCAAGTGATACGTTCTTGCGATCGGCAGTAAAACCAGGCGATCGACCATTATGCCCAGCTGCTTCGGCCGTCGACCATTTTCTCAATAACAACTAGTCGAACAAACGTTCTCGTCAATACATTGCGTTTCTAGCCGAGGGACTTTCTTTCGTCCCTCGATGACTGAGCTAACACCGCCATTACATCCTACGTCATCTTCTCGTTCTTTTTTTTCTCAAATTCTTTAGCTCAATCCGTCTGCCAACTAATTTATATTCAATTTTACTCTGAGACTGTCTCTGCTCCAATTTTTAATTTTCAAATTTAATCCTCTTACGTCAATCTCTCGCAGGACTTCTTTACCTACCGTCGAATATGATTAATCTCAAAAAATGGATGAAAATTATACCGTGTTACTAACCCTTAACCAGCGAGGTGGGTCTGTGAGACCCACACTAGATATTACGACCTTTATACCGAATGCAAAACGTAGATAACCTTGCATTTTGGCTACCTTGTATCAATATAATCTGTCAAAATGCTAAAAACATTCAGTTGACGCTAACCATCGTAAGCGTTCGTATCGAACTTTTTTTTTTTAAAAACAACTGAGAAGCTTAGACATTCTATAGTCTATAGACTAGTCTATATAGACTATAGTCTATAGTCTATAGACATTCTATAGTACATTCTTAGACATTCTATAGTACACTCTAAGTTTTCTTTTCACCTCTCTGTTTAAGGGTTAAAGTAACCGGTCACTAGTGTAGGTTTTCTGTCGATTCGAAACGTTTTTTGGGTCGTCCGTTTAAAAAGCCCCTTGGCTGCTCGGCCAGGGAAAAAGAACTTTAGGATGATAAACTATTTTATTTATTGTCTAACTAACGCGTAGCCTAACGATTAATCATTAATGTTGTTCGTTATATATGCAATGTATACACCGTATAGATATAGCTATACTCCTCTGATATCCGAGATAAGAAAGAGACGCGCGCGCGCGCCTGTACGTATACATATACATAGATATACATACAACATCCTTACATTATAGAGACACAAACACAAACACACATATATATAAATTATATATACATATAGCTGCCATACGAGAAAATCCAAAAAAGTGTCACTGTTTTTGAATGTCGCGAAAAGAGAAAAGAAAATTTAATTAGGGTGTTACTATATTGACTCTGTCAACGTAGCGGCCGTGTTGAAAAATGCAGCCTACGTCTTCGATGACGAATGATTGTTCAATAATCGTCGCGCACACCTTTTACGATTAGTTCTCTATGATATTGCGCTTTCATTTTTAGATGTTTATATTTTTATACTCCAGCAATGTGTCTATACGGCGATTGAACCGCATGTATTGTTGAACTCTAGTCTTACGTTATTATCTTCGTATCCAGCATTGTTATAGATACTGTCGTCTTCTTTTCCTTCTTCGACTTTTTCTTCTTCAATTTTCCTCATCAGTGTTCTTGGTCTTTCACTTCTCAACTCTTCATACGACTCTCGACTTGCATTCTTTATAAAAAATTAAAATTAATATTAAAACAAAGAGTGCACGTACTCAATAACAAATTAGGATTATTAAAATTTTTATTTGTCATAGTTCGTTTTCTCATCGCCCAGAGAATCGCACTTGCGAATGCATTTATATACGTATATGCATATATCGGAAATTAAAATTAAGAAATTCTCGTGACGTCATCGTTCATCCGTGCGAACGAACGCGCTACTGTGTGAATGTATCTTTACGTACCTTATTAATTAAAAAAAAAATCAAACAAACAGCGTGGCTCGTTAACGGGTATACTCGGAAGTGTATTTTCGTGTTATTAGACCAAATTTGGAAAATCGCCAAAAATAATATATATATTATTCCTGACGATAACGTGCGTCAGGCATTGATGATAATATTTTTAGAAATTGACAGCGACGCTGTGGTGATATTTTTTCTCAATTTTATGGAAATTTTGAAAAAAAAAAAAAGGAAAAACGTGAATCCCAACTTCCGAGTCGAACTGCTGAGAGTCGATTATAAAAGATTATCGCGAAACAAATTTTAACTGTGGACAAAATGAGCGCGTGGTGAACTTCCGTACGCGGTACCTTTTTTTGTCATCTTTTTTCGAAACCGACGCGAAATCAAAAAAAGCTCCATGAAACACTACTCTTTAAAGAGACTACCTGTGCCTGATCTCTGTCGTTATTTATTATTTTTTTTTGTCTCTGCCCAACTTTACTCCAAGGATAAGTGGGAGCATTGGAATTGAGAGATACTCTTTCGAAATTCGCGCAAAATATAAGAGTGAATGAAAACAAACAGTATAAAGGGAGAAAATATGAAAAATTACGCGGGTCCACCTTTTTATCGATGCATGATCAATGTGCCGTCAAAAGACAATCGTTCTCTTATATTCACTTTTTTTTAAAAAACTTATCAACCGACCAGTCGAAGTTCCGATCGTACCAATAGAAGGCCTTCCTGCGTTTGATCTAGACGATCGTTAACAATGAGCGACTCGTTACGAGAAAAAAAAGAAAAAAATTCAAAATGACAAATCAAGTCAATTGAATACTAAAACTTCGAGAAATCTCGAAAGAGTGTCTTGCAAGTATGGCGATAACTACGAGCCGAAGAAGTGGAATAAAAAGCAAAGAAAGAAAGAACAAAAGTAAAGAAACGAAAGATAAACAAAAGAAGCCTCTGTAATCGTTCTCGCGATCAACAACAATATACACTGTCAATTGATTATTTATTCGCGCTAACATTGTTCAACGTCGGTCAATTAACATGAGCCAAGTCGTGATGCATTTCATTAAACGAAGGATAAGAACTTCGTGATATTGTATAATAAATATATAGAGACAAACCTTGTGATTTGTATGAGAGCGAGAGAGAGAGAGAGAGAGAGAGAGAGAGAGAGAGAGAGAGAGAGAGAGAAACAAAAGAGAAAAGTAATCACAAAACATAAAAATACTAATCTTCTCTCCCCTACTTGACCCTCCTGACCCTTCGGGCTTGTCTCCTTATTCATCCAATCCTCAACTCCAATCCTCGCCATCTTCTGGTATTTCCGATTTTCCGTCTACGCGTACACATTGACTCTCTGTTTAAACCACAGAATTACACCGCATAGGATTAATCGAGAACCCTTATGGTAAATCCTTAACCAGGTGGAATCGAAGATCGGAGGTTTACCTGACGCTGGAGGGGCTTAAAAAAATGACTATGCTCGCGGGCGAGTGATGATCGATATTAATTGTAAATTTATCGTAGGATTCTATATGGAAATTTAAAAGGAACTAAGGGAAATTACAGGTACGTCGCTCTTCGGTGCTGGCAATTATCACCCACGTCATACGCCGTAGTTACCATCGGCATATATACATTATACATATATAATTATACACATGGTATATGCGATCCATGAGAAATCATTAAATCGACAATTATTTTCTAATTAACGCTATAAAAGTATATATACATAATTAATTGAAAAAGAAAGAAAGAAAACTCTATATGGTCCCCCGTAAATCGCGCGGCTGACTTTACCTCTCGTTACTGTGACGTTTACTATGGGGACTTCTACGTAATCATCTAATTGGAGTGATTCTTGGAAATTGAAGCGATTTGAAAAAAAATAGAGAAATATATATATATATATACACGTAACGTTACGCGGGTAATTAAATAATCCCTGAGTGGAATTATAAATGATGCAGCGACAGTTGTACCAACTAACATATCCTAGAAAACATTTCGACTCGGAGTGACAACTCTTAGACTCCAAATGAGGATAATTAATAATTAAACCGATTGATATATGTGTCTGTGGTTTATCTATAGTATTTATGATGCGCGTATTAAACATGGAAAGATATTGCCAACACTGAATTTGATATACGTGATGCGTGATAACGCCGTCGATCGCTTTCATATCCATCAACGTCCCGTTTACCATGACGGATGTGTCCTATACCGTCATGGTGATAACTAATGCATTAATGGATATCGCGAACACAATATGTAACACGTAGGGAATTGTAATGACGATCGTTTTAGGAATCGTCGATCGAGCGTCAATCCTTTTTTGTAAATAAAAATAAGTCATTCGAATAAAGATATACGTCATCGTACGAATGATTTAGAATGATTCGCTAATTACCGATAAGCGATTTATTTCAGAAATACCTTTACAAATTTTGCTTGCGTTATTCGGTGAGAAACAGCATTTTTTGAAAAAATAATTTACGTTGTTATCATGCCTGCTCGAATTGTTTTGAATTTGGTTTTGTTCAAATTGTGTTAGAAAGTGCAGCAAGACATTGTTCTGCATAATGGTATTCGGTCGTGACGAGTTACGACGAAGAACTTTACAATTTCATTATGCAATTTTATGATTGATCGAATAATTACTATGTACGATTAATTAATGATACACAGTGTTTACATGATACACGAATAAGATATTTCATCAGCTTGATGATTTTTATAAACATTCGTAAAGATAATTGATTATCGGTCAATATGCGATGATTGAGGTAAAACGTATAATTTATATTGTATGTTTGAGCATTGACGATTTGATTTGATAAACTTTTTATTTAATTATCTTGATTTCGTTTTCGAATTTGCATTGTCATCATGGTAATGTTTTTATGCAATTTTATTTAATGAAAACTCGAGTACATATTGCATCTGGCGTGGAAGGATTACTTGAGATATTTGTGGAATTTATTATCTCGGAATTTTTCGAGATTATATTTTGCAAGATAAATTGTCAATTAATATTCATTTTTTAATCTGATAAGTAAAATTTTCCTTAATGAAGAATATTTAACTGAGAAATCATTTAATATTCATTGATGGCTTTGATATGCATCATTTGCAATATGACAGGTTAACGTTGCAACTTTATAGTTTTTCCTTACGTCTCCACTTGTCGCTGAACAAAACAGAAAATGAATGTAATACAGAAAATCTGCTCAAGTCATGATCAGCTGGTTCATCGATTTAAGCATCATTCACAATTGAAGACACAGAAATTGAAATTACTTCAGTCTCATTTCATTAGTTATAAATGAAAGATTTTTTTTAATAGCTAATTATTATTTATTATACGATTGAATCTATATTTTCAAGTAATCCTGACGTAAGTACATACTTACTGTATTATATTAACGTAATCACGTCTTGACACGTGTTCTCTAACCGTAGAATCAATAAATGAGAAAGATAAAGGAAATATTTGAAATCATTATAACTTCGTCTTTAACCAGGTACCTTCATTAATTTCTTAATTTTCAAGGTTATCCCACCTTCAGCAGCAATGACCAACGCTTTCTTATTAAATACTATCGGAACGTTAGTTTTGTCACAGGCTGATATCTCGTATTTGGAAAGTATCTTTATAAGACCCAATTTCGTTTGCAAAAGTCCAAATCGAAGACCTATAAAATCAAAGGATCAAAATTAGTATTGGTTAAACTAAAAAAAATAATCTCAAACTGATCAATTTCCCAAAACCACGTACCAATGCAAATATGAGGACCCTCCCCAAAAGGCATATAAACACAAGGAGGTATATTTTTCTTGTTCTCTTCGGAAAATCGTTCGGGATCAAATTTCTCTGGGTCTGGAAAATATTGTGGATCGTAATGAAGGCCTTGAAGGGGTATATAAACGGGTGTTCCTTTCTCCACGATCAAGTCAGTTCCAGGCAATTTGTAATCCATGTTGGTTTCACGATCCAAAAACGGCAGCGGCGGATATTTCCTTAAAGTTTCCGACACCACCATATTCAGGTAAGGAAGATTTGCAACCTAAAAGTTATTTTAGGTTCGAGTCCGTGCTTAATTTTTCACGAGAACGATATAACCTCATACAGATTAAAAAAATACCATATCGTAAGTAAGTTCGCCATTTTTATCTTCCAAGGCTTCCAGAATTTCAACTCGTAGCTTCCTCTGTATTTCAGGCTGCAGTGCAAGTTCGTAAAGCGAGAACGACATTGCCGACGAAGAAGTTTCGAATCCGCCGGTAAAGAAAATTGCTGCCTGAGCGACCAAATTGTCACCGTCAAATCCTGCAAGGTTATGTACCAATGAAATACGCGTTGTTGACTGGTGTCTTACGTCTTCTTAATCACACATATCTTGTAGTGTTCCGATACATACGAATTACTAAGCAGTCTCACACATTTTTAACGTGTAGATTTCATTATCTTTTGTAAAACAATAACAGTCTATGTATCTTTCGCAACACTGCACAAGTGCGTACAAATGTGTAGACTTACTGAATTCCTTGTTCTCGCCATTTTTTGTCTGCTCCCTGAGGTCAATAAGAAGGTCGATAAGGTCATTCCTTTTGACGCCAGACTTGACTCGCTCGTCGATCGTATCCCAGAATGCTCTTCGAAGAAACTCGGTGCTCTCCTTACTAAAGAACTTAAATCCAAATAGATCGACAATTTTCGGCGCAAAAAAGGTGCAGGCCAACTCCATACCGCGTCTCCAATTAAAGTTAAATATTTGACGTCCACAAGCTCGAAATTCGGCGTCTGGATTATTCAGGGAATTTACTCTGAGCCCATAAGCCGTTACTCCAATAAGGTCAGTAGTGTACATTGCACATAGTTCCTTCATCTCCATTTCACGACCTTTGCCTTTCAAAAATATATAATCAGTATCTAAATATATAATCAGTATATATAATCAGTAATTATTTCTAATCAGTATCAACGACTATTCCAGCATACGTACTGTCAATATCAAGAGATTCCAAATAAGTGTCAAGATCCTTGTTGACGGCGAGCATAAGCTCAAACATTTTTTTCATCTTGCCAGATGTGAAGAACGGCGTGAGCTTACCCCTAAGGAATCTCCAGGCTGGATTCTTGATGGTAAATAAATTCGCATTACCCAGGATGTCTTTTTTCCCAGTGCTTGTGTATCTGTCGTGAAAGTAGTTGAAGTCCTTGATCAGAATGTGCTTGATTAGCTCAGGATCGCGCAGCATCAGAAAAGGCTGGTCCAGTATGTAGAAACCCATGTATTTAAGTCCTTTGGAATTATTGTAGTAATCCTTGATAAAGTCCAAGGCCGATTTACGGAAGAAGAGGCACTCCCCGAAATTACCGAGGAACGGAACCGGCTTGAATTCCAGAACTCCGCGTTTTTTCCAATAATTAAATTTCCTCGTCATGTAAAGGTAAAAGACAGCGGCTATTGAAAACATCAGCACGAGACCATCGCCGATCCAATGTCCCGTTAACGCCCCCATTTTCTTTTTATTAAAAAAATTTTTTTATATTCAAAAATACATTGTTATTAGTATATCTCAGAGCTTTATTTTGACTCACTTGAATTATCTATACTTAATTCCCTTTGGAAATTTACAAATTGGCCGACGAAACGACACTGTGCCAAGAATAAATCAAAATGACGTAGATTCTGATTGCTCGATCATATATTGACTCACTGGTCTTCCCTTTCTCCTTCATTAATTATATATGCATATTTTCTATATCTACTGACTACATTATTATTATACCTCTTGGCATTTCCCTGACTTGCAAATAAACAATCTTTCAGTTAATGATAGTAGTATCACGTACGTCTTAGTTTACTTGGTTGAGTTTGAACGTAGCAGAAATCTTATAGAACGTATCATACATAATATTCCAGTAGTGGCGCTGCTGCTGCAATATGATTTACAGCGACGCTTAGCGGCCGTCGCATTTTCTGGTACATCGGGAGACAGAAGCTGCGTTATAATTATGTATTTAATTTTTTCAAAAATCAATCAATACCGACATTATCATCTCATGTAGTGTCTGAACATAAAATTGTATTTTCAATAAACATCAAAAGTTTGATATAAAATTTTTATAAATTGTTCATTTCACAATTTTGAAAAAGAAAAAAATTTTATCTTTGTCCATAAAAAAATTTTTTTTATATAGTTAAAGTAAAAAAATAAGATAACAGTATGTAACGCAGTTTCTACGCGATACGTGCATACGTGGAACAAATGTGTTTGTTAATAAAAGATAGAAACGTCTTTTCGCAGCCTTGATATAATTTGAACTGAAAAATCTGTAAGTGCTAATAACAACAGTGCAATAGAAAATTCTGGGTGTCAGGAAGCTCAGGCGTCAGATAACAATCGAGCTTCTAGTCTGACGTATTCAAATAAATATTGATTGGTTGAAATTTTCAGCAATAAGAAATATCGATTGATGCAGTTTTCAACAGTACGTCCTACAAGACTCAATCTAACATCTTGTCCCTCGTATCTCGTTGAACCATGCGTGTATGTATTTGCAGTTGCACCTGGTGCAGCTGATGCTTTTTGTGCAATTTGACAGATAGAGTCACGTGAGGGTACACGGGTTCGTAAAAAGAGATGAAACTTTGGCAGTATCAAAATTACAGCGTAGTAATCGACTAACAGTGGCAGTTTAAACGTTTCATGGTAAACAAGTCTTTAAATTCGTAAAGCTGATATTTAACCTTCGTTTTTTGCACGATTCCTTCGAACCTGCACGAAATAAAATTTTGTTGCTGTAATTATTTCTCATTATCCGGCATTACGGGTATGTCGGGCTCTCGCGGCGCCGCTTCCGGTACACTGCTTTAATTCTTTACTTACAAATAATTAAAGTATACCATATATAGGTCGATCGTTATTATCAATTGAACAAGCGGAGCCAACGTTAAATTGTAAAAAAGATTTATAAAAAAACATTACAAATAAACCAATACCGCGTATAAATTATTTCCAAAATGTCATTCTCAGCTGTTCGTGATTAATATAATTCGTTCGCCAGGTTCCGCTAGGTAGTATGAAATATCAAGACGTAGATCGTCAGGATGGTCACCGTGACCGTGTCTCCTCGGTGGGTCCTTATGGTCACTTATGATCGGTATTACATTTTTTAAAATGATTAAAATAAGACGAATATGATCGATTTAAAAATTTGGAGTCAAGATTCTCGCCAGCGAGATAAATGCACAATTGATAAGGAAATTATATAATGATATTAGTTAATATTTTATCATTGAATAGAATAGAATTATGAAAATTCTATTGTGGCCCCCAGGGCAAAACACAAAATTTGCCTGACAGTCAATGTGTTAAAAAAATTCTCATTAGATTTCTTTTTTTGTTACGTCACAACTAGTTAATCCTTTTTTTGTTTTTCATTGTACGTAAACACTTTGTCGTTATCATTCGAAATTAACGATCGTTAACGATTTCCGTGATTGATGTTCGTGTTGCCATTTCTGTGAGCGCACAGTCGTACCAACTGGCTATTATTTGTTACAAGTTTTATCTCCTGGGGCCACTTATTACGCTTCACGATTATTACTGCCAACTGCGACACGCAGGTCTCTTTAATGATACACTACTTCGTGCAATTCATGATTTAAACTGGACCGTAGACTTTACATATTTGTACATTATATTAGCAGAGCATTTGGTATAAGGTATCCTGATTTTTAATAATGTAGTTTTGAAAAGTCCAAAATTTATTAACGTTCGTAAAATTAAAATATTCCAATTATTTAATTCACAACAATGATATTGCATGTTTAGTTAATACACCATATTGTTCTTTTGTTTTTACTTAATTTTAAAGCGTTATGGGCCAGTGTTAGATCATATAATAGGCAAACATATAGTGACTTATGTACTTGGCCTCAATAATCTGATATCAATACTTTTTATTAGAGGAATACACAGCACTCCTGTACTTGGCGTAATTTTTTACACGTAAGTGTTTTTTGTGGGTGATAATATTGCTAATGCTAATTCAAAGCTTTGCTCGATTATCCTTTATTACGCACTACTGCTGATATATGTATGTATGATTGATAATTACCTGTTTGACATACCTGAGGAGGATTTAATCAAGTATAGTGTTAATTATATCTTGAACAGAATGTAGGGAATTGTAAGAATTTTTACATTTTCATGAATTATCGTTTTATCGTCACAGAGTACTACTTTACCCTATGAAATGGATAGCGTTAGGAAATTTACTGTGAAAACCGTCAGCGCCTAGATGGTGGGAAGTAAAATAACATAATATCAGTCGGTAACGTTTTAGTTGCGACTAGCGGCCGTTTCTATGCTCGGTCGGCACTGAGAAAGTATCTATCGATAAAAATTAGTTCTCTCGATAAATTATCTTACTACCATTGAAATACTATCGATATGAAAGTTTCGAAAGTTGTTCATAGATGACAGGCACGAGGATATATTATGTAAAAAAAATATGAACTCAATGAATGTTTGTCTACGTATATTCATGTTTTATGAATATCTGTAGAAAATTGATTGGAAAACGATAAAAGCAGTTTAAACTGTAATCACTTGTCGTTAAGTAAAATTGATAGACTTGATTATCCAATTAAGCGTGTGATTTACCAAAGGCTTTCATACCGCTCTTTAAATCCTTCTAACGGTGTCTCTAACAATATCCTCGAGGGGTTTAATAAATTCCATACTCAAGTCCTCACGCGAGAGAACGAAATTCCACCCGTTGGAAAGAAAACCGCTATAAATATAAAGGAGCGGGATAGAAATTTTGAAAAATAGAGAAAATCGGTGAAATTATTTTAACAAAATTTTAAGCGTTTCATAAATTGATTCAAACTTTTCTATACGATCAAATCAGATTATACGATAATCAAGGATGATTCGATAAGACAATTTTGCACTGATTAAACCATAAATATTGTCCATACAAACCGTATCATCCCCCATCTAATATATCGAACCAATCGAATAGATCGCAAAAGATATTCTAAAAATATTTTACCAGCTAATAAATGATACTCGTCAAATAATGACTCCTGAAGTATCACTTATCACATATGTATCCTTTATATACATATATTTATAATTCACCCCTAAAAACACATAACATACCAAGAGCTATATGTTCATCCGGAAGCGGAACCCACTTGGAATTCCCCTTCTCCCCCTGGATCAGGATCAAGAGGGGATATGTGAGCGATGTTTAATGCATATACCAGAACGAAGGAACGTGGAACAAGGAACAAGGGAGTGAAGAAATCAGGAACGAGAAAGACGGTCCAGGGGTTGAAGAGATAAAAGACACAAAAAAAAAAATTAGGGTTGATGATGATGCCACAAAACTATGTCTATTTTGACATCTAATCCATGAACTGTTTGTATTTATCATCAGACCGGAAGTCCCAATAAATACTGTACCCGTGGTAAGAAACTGATAGCAGAATTGGCCCAGCTGATATCTTGATAAGATTAAGGAGGTTTTTATGGGAAAATTGTTCCTTAAGGATGATCCCTTGTTGGTCCTGCGGTGCCCATTGAGAAATGAGCGGCGTTCACGTAGTTGCGCAAGGAATAAGGGTAGGTAGAGAGGGTGGCCAATGGTACAGGGCAAAGGGTGGGATAAGTGTCAGAAGGGTAGAAGGGAAGAAGGGAAGAAGGGAAATCACTATTAGGTTAGATTACCGCAGGGGGCGGATCGCAGTTGGAAATTACACCAGACCAATACCTGCTTCCAGCACGATTCCATCTATACGTGCCCCCGGTGGATGGATGGACGAAGGGGGCCGAGGTGGGAGCAGGTAGGGAGCAGAGGGTTGATGAAACCGGAACCGTAAGAGCCGCGAATTTGGATTCCTCTGGTTAAATTGCGGCGAGTTCGAAACTGGCCGAATGAACTTTCCACGTGAAAAATTCGCGACGGCCTTCCACGTCTGTATTTGCCAACTGAGACTCAACTGGGACGCAGCTGGTCCCCCCTTTATTTTCTTTATTTTCCTTCCTTTTCTTGGCCCTTTTCTTTTCTACCGTTATTCCGCTCCGTTCCTTCTCTTGGCTCGTTCTCTGGACTCCATAAAAAATTTCCGATCTCAAACCAATCGATGGAGAAGAGCACTGGCGACCGCTGCTCAAAGATTCCACGTATCGACTTTACACTGCTCCAGCCTCCGGCCGATGGACCAATTGTCTCTGGCCGAGTGAAACGTCTGCTGTTCTTTTGAATTATTTGATAAGGGAGCAAAGTGGGTTGCAAACGACCCTTTATAGAATGCTGCTTCAATCCTCTCCTTTGTCTGGTCGTTATGGACGCGTGACGTCGCGACGCCACGTAACGTATTGCATCGGCATTAATGTACACGTAATACGTCACAGTACAGCTGACCCTTCTCAAGCTTATTACGGCGGCGTAGCGAGGCCCTTAGAATTTCGGTTCTTTCGTTTTTTCGGACGGAAGTCGGTCAGAGAAACGAAACAGTAAAAATACGCGAGAGCCCGAGAGAGAGAGAGAGAGAGGAAAAGATAGGGAGAGGGTGAGAAAGAAAGGGGGAAGAGAAAAGATAAAAAGAAAAAGGAAAAGAAACGTCCACTAGCCCTTTGGATATCTTCCAGGCAACTGAGTTGAATTACCGTGCAACGAATAAAGTTTCGCTTTCCGGGCCGGGAGCCGCGACGGGTCCTATGCGGACGTTCCATTT